AGAACTTATTTCGTGCTCTTTTTCAAACTTTTCTAATATAATTATAGTTACTACGAAAAATTAAAGACCTTTTAGAAGCTTATAATCTTCTATTTTATTTATATGTTTTATTTAAAATTATAATATTTTAACTTTAATTCTTTTATTTATTAATAGTTTGACGTTGAATTAAAGCCTTCATCGATATAACAATTTTGTTCCATGGACATTTTTTTTACCAATTAATAATATATTGCATTTTTAGTGTTTGGATATGTTATTTTATTTTATTAATTATTTGGTTGAATATTATTTTATGTGCTTGAATATGTTGTTTGTTTATAATTATACATTCGGTATTTACTTGGGACTTTTTTTTTAATTATTTAATTTGTGTTTTATTATTTATTACAGATTATGAAATGGCTTATATGTGATACATTCACTGGTAAGTAAGTTGTATAAAGATTCAACTTTAATTGGACAAAAAGACCATAATAGATTATTTTTAAATTTTCATATAACTTACAGATATGAGAGGCTAATTGCTTTCTGCGTGATTTTCCTTTTTTTAAGGCTAATTTCCTTTTTGGTATTAACTGTTTAGTCAAATTGAATTTGTGGTAGGCACTAATTGGTAAAATCACTTACATTGTGTCATACTCCGTGGAGGCATGTACCAAAAAATACTCCGTGGAGCCATATAAAGGTCTTGTTAAATTAAATTATCATAAATAAATGAAAGAAAGACAAATCTAAAGTGAAAAAGAGTCATCTGATGCATTTCCTATTGTTTTTCAACCAAGTGTAATTATTTCCAATAAAGGCCGAAAGACTTTGTTGAATGAATCAGTCAAAAAAGAAACATTAGAAAAAAAGAATGAATATGCCAAAAGAGGATTATTTTCAAGATCCACGAGTCTCGATTTCAAATTCTCCAAAAGAAAAAAATGAACTAGCTCTATAGATCACGAACTTAAGGCATGATGTGCAAGTGCCCCTTCACTCCATGAAGGAAGATGGTAAGCATGCATTAACCTTAGAACAAGAGGACAAGATCAAGATAATACGGTCTTGCCAAGGCATTAGGAAAATAAAAGAGAAGCCACCTTGATTTGGATTGCCAAGTAAAGTAATCACCAAAGTTGTTGCATAATTTGTCATAAACTTAAATATGTTTTTAGTTTTAATAAATAAGTGTATTCAAATTCAAAATGTGTTGGTTGGTAACAAGAATACGTTTAAATATGAATAATGATACATGTATAATAAAAGTATACAATAGTTTATATAGTACTATTCAAAATGTGGTTTTGCTTCTATTAAGATTATACTAATGAGTAATGACATTTATTTAGGATGATGATCTTTAATGATTTTCCTAACATTCAAGCTTAAGTTTGGACGCCAAATTTTCTCATATATAAAATTATATTTTCTTTATTCATGTAGCTAGGGACAATAATTTCTTTAATGTTATTTTAAGTTTGTTTCCTTTCAATACAATTGTTGTTTAATCACCCATTTTGTTTCTCACGTTATAGATTGACATCAAATTTTCCGACATATCTCTCTCGCGTTATAAATTTTAATCCGAAGCTATGTCATTTTAGTAAGTCACTTTATGTTCTATACTTGGGGATCACAAAATCGAAAGTTCCAACTAAATAAAATTTTCACCTCTTTTGCAATCTATACCTTTTCCTGTAACAATAATGTAGATCTTCTTCTAAAGTTAACCATTGCATTTAGGTTACATTATTATTTCTTGCAGCTATGAAGGTTTTGCTACTGGCATAATAATCATGGTCCATGCTTGTTTTTTTTTTTTTTTTTTTTTTTTTTTTTTTTTTTTTTT